AAATGGCCGCGGATGTTAACTTTGTTAAGTTAAATGGAACACCCTGTATATTTTTACTTATTTGGGTAGAACGTTCCCTGTAGAGCATAACCATATAGGGTTTGTTGGGTTTATCTCTAACAATAAGCAAGATACTTTTAAAAAACGAAAAGAAGTTTTTTTATTACGAAAGTAAGACATCTTGTAATTGTTAGACCTCTTTCAGACATTTCTGTCTTTTTTCCAATTACGTAAGGACTTACAGATTTAGTTATAATATATTTTGGCAGATCGTTGATATAGTCCAAAATGCGTATAGGTAATGTAATGAATTCTCACTAATTAGGCCGTGAGAGGTCTAATACTCATGGACATTATATAGTAGGTCGTGACAGTGACAGGTAGTAATGTCTTGATAACATTGTTATTGATTGACAGTATGTATTATTATTATTTAATTAAAATAAGTTACACAGAAGTAGAAAATTATTGAGAATTAAAATAGGGTATGAAGAAGAACTTTGCTCTATTTTAATTCCTATAATATTTCAATTTTCTACTTCTGTGCAACCCATTTTAAATAAATAATAATACAAACTGTCAATCAATAACAATTTTGTCATGACATTAGCTGCCACTGTCACGGCCTACCATATAATATTGTTCATGAGTAATTAAGCCTCTCACGGCCTAATTAGTGAGATTACAATACCTACAAGAATTTTGGACCATATCAATATCCGATCTGTCAAAATATATTATAACTAAATCTGTAATTGAAAAAAGGCAAAAATGTCTGAAAAAGGTTTAATAATTACAAGATGTATTATTTTCTTAATAAACAACCTTCTCTTTGATTTAAAAAGTATCTTGTTTATTGTTAGAGATGGACCTAACAAACCCTACATGGCTATACTCTACAGGGAACGTTCTATGCAAATATGTAAAAATATACAGGGTTCCATTTAACTTAACAAAGTTAACATCCGCGGTCATTTTGTTTGGACTTCATTTGTTTTTCTACTATCATTTTCGAAAAATTCATAAAAACTCGTGCAACTTTTATATTTCACATTTTTTTATCTCTTAAAACAAAAAAGTTAAAGGGGGGGGTCAAAATATAGTGAATCACCCTGTACATTTGAACCTCTGAAGGATTTTTATGTGTCAGTCGGTACTTTTTGATATTCCCCCTATATTTAGTTTTAAATTGCAGTTGTTTCACCTGTAAGTCTGGACCTCAGATGGATCTTTATGTTTCTGTTGGTGCTGTTTGATAACATTCTTGTACTTATTTTCGTAATCGCAGTCGTTACACCTGTACATTTAAACCAGCGAAGGATCTTTGCTTCAGTAGATGCTTTTTGATATTCTCCCTGTATTTAGTTTTATGGTCGCAGTGGTTACACTTCTACATCTGGACCTGAGATGAATTTTTATGTTTCAGTTCATGCCGTTTGATATCCTTCTTATATCTGGTTCCATAATCGCAGTAATTACACTTGTACATTTGAATCTGCGAAGGATCTTTATGTTTCAGTTGGTGCTGTTTGATATGATTCTTGTGGTCAGTTTCGTAATCACAATCGTTACACTTATACATTTGGACCTTTGACAGATCTTTATGTTTCAGTAGATGCATTTTGATACAATCCCTGTATTTAGTTTCGTAATCGCAGTCATTACATCTGTACATCTGGACCTGAGATGAATTTTTATGTTTCAGTTCATGCCGTTTGATACCGTTCTTATATCTAGTTTCATAATCGCAATAATTACACTTGTACATTTGAATCTGTGAAGGATCTTTATGTTTCAGTTGATGCATTTTGATACAATCCTTGTATTTAGTTTCGTAATCGCAGTCATTACATCTGTACATCTGGACCTGAGATGAATTTTTATGTTGCAGTTTATGTCGTTTTATACCCTTCCTATATCTGGTTTCAAAATCGCAGTAATTACACTTGTACATTTGAATCTGTGAAGGGTCTTTATGTTTCAGTTGGTGCTTTTTGATTTGGTACTTGTATTTAGTTTCGTAATCGCAGTCGTTACACCTGTACATTTTGATCTGCGAAGGATCTTTATGTTTCAGTAGATGCATTTTGATACAATCCCTGTATTTAGTAGGATTCACGTTTATATTCTTCCGAATTGTTCTCATGTCTCGCACAGTGTGTTGTAAAATGGCTCTTGCATCCAGTTTGGCAAACAGATTTATCACATTTGTACAATACCTTGCACTCCTGCTTGGTTTTCGTATTACACTTGTTTTCCGATCCATTCTCATTTTTACATCCATCCTCTTCCGCAACTTTACAATCACTCTTCTCCGATGGTTCATTATTACAGGTCTGCAGTGGCGCATCACTGAAAAAATTGCATACAAAATTCCATTTAAATCAGACAAAGAATTTTGGTGAATATGAACCTATATTTTTTGCCAGCTTTGTTGGTTGTCTTTATATATTTGTGCAATATTTTATCTGGATAATAACAGTGACTATAACAAGAATAAGACGGTCAACGAGGCCAATAGGCACGTACCCGCACAAAGTCGGTGAGTCCGGATAATACTACTAAAGTATGGTTCAGGAAGTGCTGCACCCTAATGAATTTTCGCGCAACTCGACGTAAGCCAAAGCAGTTCACTGTAGTGCGCGTGCTGTAACTGAACGGCATATCATCAAGGTAAAATCGCACAATGTTGTGTTGCCACTTACGCGCAAAACAAATTTGAATCTTTCGTGATGATACCGCGGTAATTACGACTACTCGTATCTACCCAATGATCATAGTTGTTACCAAGCAAAGCAGCTTTAATATTTTGATTTTTGAAATAAGCTTTGATTCGAAAACGTATTTTTGCTGTTTTCTGTAAATAACATAAAAAGCTTCGAAATGTTGGAAAGGCTGCAATTACATATTTGTGTTAAGTATTTTTTTATGAAGATTCCGATGATCGAACAAAAAATAGGTAGATAGATTAGATTAGAGGACATTTTAACTAAGTATGTAAATTAATACAAACTATTAGAAACTATTACAAACACTAAAAATAATATGAAAAATATTACAAATACCGGATGTCTCCTAAAAAACGCCGCAAGCCATAACTCGGTTATTTATAATCCGATATTAAAAAACAACACAATAATTAAATAAAATGGCAATGTTATATTGGCATTACCTCTCATTGTCATGGCTTACGATATAACATTGTCCATGCGTAATTAGGCCTCTCATGGCCTAATTAGAGAGATTTTGTTAAAATACCCATACCATATCAATGTCCGATATGTCAAAATATATTACAACTAAATCTGTGAATCCTTACGTAATTGGAAAAAAGGCACAAGTGCTTGAAAGAGGTCTAACAATTACAAGATATTTTATTTTCTTAACAAAAAAATACTCTTTTCTGTTTTTAATAGTATCTGGCTTATTGTTAGAGATGGACCCAATAAACCCTATATGATTATAATCGACAGGGAACGTTCTATCCAAATATGTAAAAATATACAGGGTGTTCCATTTAAACTAACAAAGTCCGAGGCCACATTGTTTGGACTTGTTTTTCAAATATCATTTTCTAAAAATTCATAAAGAATAGTGCAACTTTTGTATTTTACATTTTTTTATAACTCTTACAACAAAAAAGTTAAAAGGGGGGGGGGGTCAAAAGGTAGTGAATCNGTATTTTTTTATGAAGATTCCGATGATCGAACAAAAAATAGGTAGATAGATTAGATTAGAGGACATTTTAACTAAGTATGTAAATTAATACAAACTATTAGAAACTATTACAAACACTAAAAATAATATGAAAAATATTACAAATACCGGATGTCTCCTAAAAAACGCCGCAAGCCATAACTCGGTTATTTATAATCCGATATTAAAAAACGACACAATAATTAAATAAAATGGCAATGTTATATTGGCATTACCTCTCATTGTCATGGCTTACGATATAATATTGTCCATGCGTAATTAGGCCTCTCATGGCCTAATTAGAGAGATTTTGTTAAAATACCCATACCATATCAATGTCCGATATGTCAAAATATATTACAACTAAATCTGTGAATCCTTACGTAATTGGAAAAAAGGCACAAGTGCTTGAAAGAGGTCTAACAATTACAAGATATTTTATTTTCTTAACAAAAAAATACTCTTTTCTGTTTTTAATAGTATCTGGCTTATTGTTAGAGATGGACCCAATAAACCCTATATGATTATAATCGACAGGGAACGTTCTATCCAAATGTGTAAAAATATACAGGGCGTTCCATTTAAATTAACAAAGTCCGAGGCCACATTGTTTGGACTTGATTTTCAAATATCATTTTCTAAAAATTCATAAAGAATAGTGCGCAACTTTTGTATTTTACATTTTTTTATAACTCTTACAACAAAAAAGTTAAAAGGGGGGGGGGGGTCAAAAGGTAGTGAATCTCTCTGTACATTCGAAAAATATTTTTAGAATATGGAAAACTTGATAGCGTGCTACTTTTGCTTCAAATATTTTTTCATAAAATCAACAATAAGAGAGCTATTGTATTTTGACAGAACAATCAGAAGTTGATACAATTTTCTGTACGATCTTACAACTTAACCACTTATCCTTGTCCCCAGGTACCTAGTTTTATTACCTTATCTTAATTAATCTAATCCGGGTCATTGCCTAGTCGGTTAGTGTTTATGTATGCACCTCCAACTTCAAAATTCGGCAACGTTGGTATTCTCAACGAACCAATATAGTGAAGTATTAGATTAGTAGCAGGTAGTAATTTATGTAACTGCCGCTTCTTTCTAGCTGTGACTACAATCTTCTTTCTAGCTGTGACTACAATCTTAAAAGCTTCCCATTATAATTTTCCGTTTCAGAGATGGCGCACCCCGAGCGGACGTTAATTTTTCAAACTCACAATTTATTAAAGCGTTGACTGTCTTATTCTTGTTATAGTCACTGATAATAATAATTAACAACTGTCGACAACATGCGTATCTTTATTACTACCATTGACTACTACTGCCACAGAAACTTAACCTACTTCGTACAGTTACTATAGGCGCATTTTAGGAAAGTACCCGCTAACCATTATATCCTAACAAACTCTAAGTCTGTTTAGTGGCGAAACAAAGCACCTTCGCACAGAGGAAATTTGAATTAAAATATATTTTAGAGGCTTTGTGTGGGTTCTTATGTGGAACAGAAACTCTCAGTGTAAGTGTGATAAAATTCTATACGTATTAATGAAAATTTCTGATATTTATATTTAAAATTGTCGCTAATGCAATAGCTCCATCATTTCCATTTAAAATTTGGGTGTGTTAGATGAACTGAGCCGGCCTATTCGTACAGTATAAAAAAAATAATTCTCGTTAGAAAAATTGTAAGTTCACAAGTACTTAATGTGATTCTTATATCTGAATACAAAGCCTACGACTCGCAGCAGTTAGCCAAGAAAGTCAGGGCATTTTCCACTAGCGAACATAAAAACTTTTCTATATTATATTTATTAAAAATGAAAATAAAACATTGCAATTTTTTTATTTTGATACGAGTTCCTTAGTGAAAACTGGTAAAGTATCCTTTATACCCACATGCAACCTAAAGCCATACTGATTGCTGTGTCAAGATCTTATACTTTTTCCAAGTAATTTAATAATCAAGCTTTTGATTGGACAAAAATCTTTGTAACATTATTTATAACCAACATAAGCCTATAATTTGTTGTAATAAGACTCCTTTTTGGTGACACGCCAATAATATACTACTACTACTTTACTTACGCACTCATTGACAGTACCACGACCATTTTTTAAATTGATGTTAAAATAGTCTTCCCTTACCTTCTTTCCTCATCTTCAGATTCTATGTCGACACATTCAGTTTCAATCGAAAATTCCATCTCGCTAATATCAGAGTCTCTGTCCAGGTTTTCAGTCGTAACAAATAAATCAGATGGTGACGTATCTATTCGACTTTCTGTGGCTGAATTATCATAAACACCTCTAATTTTTTCCTCTACTTCTAGGCATTCTCTAAGGAAACTGTTGTGGGTGCACAGGGAATCAAAACATTCCTTACATACAACGGGATCTTTGATGATATTTATATTCTGCAAATTTGTTTCATTAAATTGCGCATAATATAAATATTTAATATTGTTCAAACCATTTCAGGAGTCAATTTCTGAATAGCTTCGAGTTCCTCTTCACGTATGCACATAAACTCACTTTTTACCAAGTTCATACACAATCGACATATTTTCTGACTATCTGAAATTGACTCGCTTCTCTCTTCCTTCCTGTACACTTCCCTTATGTCGATCTGTAACATATTTTCGCAATCCACATGTGGTATAATTGTGTTATCGGTATTCAGACACGTCGACTTGAATTCGAATGCCGCATATAATTTTCTTCTGCAAGCATTACATATAACCTCTTTGCTCTCATCATGGAATTTCTGGAATGTACGCGACTTTAATCAAACGGAAAGAGAATAAATTTGGCAGAAAAGTCGCTACACATCTAATATCTTCACTGACTTACCAGCTTCAGCAAAAGAACATCGAGAACATATCTAATAACGTTTTCTATTACTTCAAAATTTTGAACGGTAACAGTTTTAAGGCAAAGCCTACAGGAAATTTCATAGACACCAGTCATTATAATTTCCTTTGAAATGCAAAATATATAACCGTAACTTGTGTTGGTTGTTTAACCTCAATTACATTGCCTGTTATCTCTTATGGACACAATTGTACCCACAGATCAAGAAAATACTGTCTTTTCTTATCTGTGATTGTACCCTTATTGATAGTTGGAGAACTTCTCACAGAGGACGCTCCCATCTAAAATTATGTCATCTAGCCATCTCATTCTAATCCTTGTTTTCAGGTGCGTTTTGTTGGATTGATTCCGGAATTGAATTATGCAGAATGAGCGTTTTATTGCAAGAATATTCTGAATCCAGTTGCACCTTTTGCTTCTGTGGTTTGAGACGGAATTATTAGAATTAAGTGGTGGGGAGATCAAATTTGTGAGGTTACTTAGGTAGCTGGTGTAGCATTGGCCCGTTGACATTCGGCATCTGTTTAATGTCAGATTTGATTCGAATCGTTTTATTGATAAATGTCATTCTAAAGAATCCAATAAATCTGGGATTGATCCTCAGAGTAATAAGTAAAGGGGAGGCCGCATTCCCTATTTCAGTACACAATGTAAACATGTAACCTCAACCCATTGTATGTTGATAAACAAATGATACATAAGTAAACACAATGGTCCCTGGTACAGTGGCGTACCGAGTTTAGGTTTAAAATCTATCATAATATAAGGAAACCATAAAAATTACACTTTTTAATTGAATAAAATCAGAAGTGCTCGATTATTTAAGCTTTCATGTGTAATAAATAGACAATAAATAGGAAAAAGTTAATGGTTCCTTCAAAATCTATAATTAATATTTTAAAAACATTTCCAGAACAAAAGAGTGACTAAAGAAAACTCCTCGATTGAAACTATCATTATACTATAGCTATAGCAATGTCATTGCCTACTATTAATTCTATTATTTCATAGTAGTTCTCGATTACTGGAAGAACATTTATTAAAATAAATAATTTAAATAAAACTACAAGAAAAGGAGCAAAAATATATTTAATTAAAATCTGCTGGAATATAAACAATGCAAAGAAAACAAAACATATTTGTACTAAAAGTAACGGAAAAATGAATTTACATTGAACAACATTTAATCGTATGGGAAAATAAGCATGTTTTAANAAATTGATGGTTTTCCCTGCAAAGTGAAAAAACTGTTTTCCTCACTTATTTGTTTAAATAGAAAAGTTAGCTAATAAAAGTATTTGACTCACGAGACGAGAGATGTCTTGTATTATGTTCCTTTAAACAATTTTAGAATAATCTGGCGGATAGGACTTTTTTCGAGTAAAAATTTAATTTGCTTGGTCTATAACGAAAACCGTTGAACCACACGGTCGTAAATAACATAAAATCCTCGGTTGATTATATGGAGTTCCGAGCCTACTCCGACATTCCCGTTTGAACCAGAGATATAGAGTAAGGGAGAATGAGCTTCGACGAGTGCGCATCCACTTTTCTAGGGACGCTACGGGCGCAGCCATTTTGAAGGCTTTTACGTCACGCAGTGACGCAGTTGTTAGATTCGCAGGTGTGTTTTTTGATTCATATTTTTGTTTGTAAATTTCGTTTTTATTGAACTTTAAATATGTCTTGTGCTTTGTGCTGTGAAAGGAAGCGCAAATTGCAGAAGATGTCCAATACAAAACATCAGTTTTCATGTGTAAGTACAGAACATTTCTAAATATTTAGGTAGCTCTACACAAAAATAAGATATTTCCACTTTTTATTCTANTAGTATTTAATATATTTTTTATGAAGTGCATATATGAAAATTTAATTTTTTATTATATAATAAATATTCAGATATACCTAGAAAATTATGAAAAATAATTCATATGTAATTGAAAATTTCAAAAGTACGTATTTGTTAGTTCATATTTCATTTCAAAATTTAATGTAAAGTTATGTGCGTTTCTAATTAGAAATTTTAGAACTGACCTGGTAATATAATATAGTACCCCCTCGTATCTAAGCCTTCAAAATGGCGACCTCCTTTATTAACAAGTTTGCGCATGTTGACGCTCATTCTCCCTACTCCATATCTCTGGTTTGAACCCTGTTTAGCCGAAATAAGAACCGACGGGAGATTGTTTCCAAACAAGTAGATGTCACTAGCTACTAAAAACATTTAGGTAGTGGGGATGAGCTGTCATGCCCCCCCCCCAGCCTCATGGTTTCAAATTGTTTCAATTTCAATTTTCAATTGTTGTAATTTAAATTGAATTGAAATTATTTTTAGGATATTTGAGAAGTTACTTATAATAGCTATGGGCCGGTGTAGTATGTCATGATTTGGGTTAAATGATCAAGCTCCCCATAGCTGACGTAATAGTAGCAGAAATAAGGCAATACTGTTACACTCTTCGTATTTTTCTTTGTTCACAATGATATGACAAAACAAAACTTACTTTACATACATCAAACATGTATTTTGGAACGATGAGAATGATAACTGTAACATAGTTTTCTGATAGGGAACGGCGTTACAGGAAGATCGGTACAACGTTATAAAGTCAGCATGTAGAGTTAAATCACATTTATTCATTTAAGGTTACAGCACAAATAAGGTCGAAAACTTAATCCTAGGTCTGCCATATATGGAAATTTTAATCATTATTAATTAAGAATATTTTAAAAATAGAAAAGAGCATCAACCCAATCTTTCATCAAAATTGATATTTCATAATTCACATATTCCTAGAAAAACTCTTAGTCTGCAAAATTGTTACATTAGCATAAAACTGAACAATCAGGTGCAAACGCCACTATCTTCAGATCTTCATATGCGTCCATTTTAAACTATATTTTGCACGAAGGGTGGTAATCCACACATGCAAACGTTTATTGTGCATCAACTGAGGTCTCCTCAAACACTCTTTATGTTTGGTTGTGCATTTAAGAAGGTCCTTACTACTTCAGAACTTGATATTTAATACCGCTCTTGTATTTAGTTTCCTAATCGCAGTCACTAGAATCTTTATGTTGCAGTTGGTGCTGTTTGATATGACTTTTAAACATAGTTTCGTAATCGCAGTCGTTACACCTATACGTTTGAATCTCTTAAGGATTTTTATGTGTCAATTCGTGATGTTTTATATAGTTCCTGTATTTAGTTTCGAAATCGCAGTGGTTACACCTGTACATTTGAACCTGCGAAGGATCTTTATGTTTAAGTTGGTGCCTTTTGATATTACCTTTTAATTTAGTTTCATAATTGCAGTTGGTACATTTGTATATTTTAACCTCTGAAGGATCTTTATGTTTCAATTGATGCTTTTTGATATTCTCCCTGTATTTAGTTTGGAAATCGCAGTTGTTACACCTGTACATTTGAACTTGAAAAGGATCTTTATGTGTCAGTTGGTGTGATTTGATATGACCCTTGTATTTAGTTTCATAATCGCAGTTGTTACACGTGTACATTTGAACCTGTGATGGATCTTTATGTGTCAGTTGATGCACTTTGATACCATTCTTGTATTTAGTTTTGTAATCGCAGTCACTACACTTGTACATTTTAATCTGCGAAGGATCTTTATGTGTCAGTTGATGCAGTTTGATAACATTCTTGTATTTAGTTTTGTAATCACAGTCACTACACTTGTACATTTGAATTTGCGAAGGATCTTTATGTGTCAGTTGATGCAGTTTGATACCATTCTTGTATTTAGTTTTGTAATCGCAGTCACTACACTTGTACATTTGAATCTGCGAAGGATCTTTATGTGTCAGTTGATGCAGTTTGATAACATTCTTGTATTTAGTTTTGTAATCACAGTCACTACACTTGTACATTTGAATTTGCGAAGGATCTTTATGTGTCAGTTGATGCAGTTTGATACCATTCTTGTATTTAGTTTTGTAATCGCAGTCACTACACTTGTACATTTGAATCTGCGAAGGATCTTTATGTGTCAGTTGATGCAGTTTGATAACATTCTTGTATTTAGTTTTGTAGTCACAGTCACTACACTTGTACATTCGAATCTGCGAAGGATCTTTATGTGTCAGTTGATGCAGTTTGATACCATTCTTGTATTTAGTTTTGTAATCGCAGTCACTACACTTGTACATTTGAATCTGCGAAGGATCTTTATGTGTCAGTTGATGCAGTTTGATAACATTCTTGTATTTAGTTTTGTAATCACAGTCACTACACTTGTACATTTGAATCTGCGAAGGATCTTTATGTGTCAGTTGATGCAGTTTGATACCATTCTTGTATTTAGTTTTGTAATCGCAGTCACTACACTTGTACATTTGAATCTGCGAAGGATCTTTATGTGTCAGTTGATGCAGTTTGATAACATTCTTGTATTTAGTTTTGTAGTCACAGTCACTACACTTGTACATTCGAATCTGCAAAGGATCTTTATGTGTCAGTTGATGCAGTTTGATACCATTCTTGTATTTAGTTTTGTAATTGCAGTCGCTACAAATGTACATTTGAACCTCTGAAGAATTTTTATGTGTCCACTGGTGCTGTTTGATATTCTTTTTGTATTTACTTTCGTAATTGCAGTCATTACACCTGTACATTTGAATCTCTGAACGATTTTTATGTGTCAGTTGGTGCTTTTTGACATTCTCCCTGTATTTTGTTTCGAAATCGCAGTTGTTACACCTGTACATTTGAACTTGCGAAGGATCTTCATGTTTCAGTTGTTGGTGCTTTTTAAAAACATTCCTGTATTTAGTTTCGTAATTGCAGTCATTACACTTGTACATTTGAATTTGAGAAGGATCTTTATGCATCAGTTGGTGTGATTTGATATGACTCTTGTATTTAGTTTCATAATCACAGTCTTTACACCTGTACATGTGAACCAACGAAGGATCTTTATGTTTCAGTTGGTGTTTTTTGATATCAGCTTTGTATTTACTCTCATAATCACAGTTGTTACATCTGTACATTTGAACCTCTGAAGCATTTTTATGTGTCAGCTGGTGGTTTTTGACATTCTTCCTGTATTTAGTTTTGAAATCACAGTCATTACACTCATACATTTGAACCACTGAAGGATCTTTATGTTTCAGCTGATGCTTTTTAATAAGACTCCTGTATTTAGCTTTGAAATCACAGTCGTTACACCTGTACATTTGAACCTCTGAAGGAATTTTATGAGTCAGATGGTGTTGTTTGATATTTTCCGTGTATTTAGTTTTGAAATCACAGTCATTACACTCGTACAATTGAACCAATGAAGGATCTTTATGTTTCAGTTGATGCCTTTTGATATGACCCTTTAATTTAGTTTCATATTTGTACAATACTTTGAGTTCCTGCTTGGTTTTCGTATTACATTCATTGGCTGATCCATTCTCATGTTTACATCCTTCCTCTTCTGCATCTTTAGAGTCACTCTCCTCGAATGGTATAATATCGGAACTCAGCAGTGGAGTGTCACTGAAAAAATTGCATATACAATGTCAGGTTTTAATTTCATTTTAATTTTAATTGAAACAATAATTTTATTTCGTTCATGTGATTAAATTTCGGTAAAATTAAAAATTATTAAGGTGTTAATATCCCGGGTGCGGAGTTCAAGTAAAAGCTCTTCCAAGAATGTCTCATATTTGAGTCATGTAGTTTCGGCACCTGGCAACGTCGTGTGTGAGAGATTGACATAAACTTATATTTACGGGGCAAAGGGTTAGGTTATTAGAGTTAAGTATAGTGGATGCATTACAACTGGTAAGTTTGTGACCCCGGATGTCACGCCAAAAAGTCGCCGTCCAGGTAACAGCTATGGAGAAAAGTGCAAACCAGAGGTCTTGATCAGAAAAACCACATTTTCCAGTGGGTTTACTTCCATTTATTTACAACACATAAAATTCATCACTGACAAATCGGTGACGGTCGGTATTAATATTCGGAAAATATCGGAAAACGGAAACTAAGCTTTTCCCCGATTCGGCTTTCAACTCAGGTTGACGGCTATTCTATAAGGACGAGCGAGTGAGGGACTACGAGAGGGAAAGGGCTGACCCTCGGAGTTTCAGGAAAGGATTCTAAGAACAGGCGGGAAAATTGCCGTCACTCTGTTCCCAGACGGAAGGATAAGGAGGGAGGACGCTTGGTAGGAAAATTGCCGATACCAAGGGGGGGGAAAAGGACTTACTTCATGTTGAGGAAAATTGCCGATCAACGTTACTGTCTTTCATGTGCGGAGCTGGGCTTTTATAGTCGATTGGTAACGTAGACTAACTGTTCATCGGATATTAGTACTCAGACCTACATCAAATATAAAATTCCGTTTACACATTAGTAACATAGGAAAAGACAATCATTCATCGGATACTTAACGGCTAAATTAATAAAGGTTGGTTATAAGTTTTCAAAAAATTTTGCAGAAATCATCCTTATCGTTCGATTTATTTTATTAGTTCCTTTAAATGAAAAAAGGAAACTGAAACGAAAAAGGATTTAGTTCAAAATTTTGTAAAATGTCAGTGCGAGCAAACTAACCTTTCCTCAACGTGCGACGTTGCCTCATTTTATTTATGTGAATAATTATATAAAAAATTTAAAAGAGAATATTAATATCTTTAATCGTAGCTGGTCAATGCATTCCAGATTGTTACATATAACGTATTTCTTCACAAATTAGTCTAGCCTAAAATTTGAGCAGTGTCTGGAATGGGGTTATTTAACTGCAGTAATGTTTTCATCGTAATTATGATTTTAAAAATAATTAAGTGAATATTATATATTAAAAATTTAACAATATACTTACACAATCATTTAATTGTATCAATCGTAACAGTACCACGACCAGGCTCTACGCCATTTTTTTTAATTAATGCTAAAATAGGCTTCCCTTACCTTCTTTCCTCATCTTCAGATTTTATGTCGACGCATTCAGTTTTGATCGACAGTTCCATCTCGCTAATATCGAATTCTTTGTCCAAGTTTTCAGTCTTAACGAATAAATCAGATGGTGAAGTATCTATTCGACTTTCTGTGGCCGAATTATCATAAACGCCTCTAATTTTTTCCTCTACTTCTAAGCATTCTCTAAGGAAATTGTTGTGGGTACACAGGGAATCAAAACATTCCTTGCATACAACGGGATCTTTGATGATATTTATATTCTGCAAATTTGTTTCATTAAATTGCGCATAATATAAATATTTAATATTGTTCAAACCATTTCAGGAGTCAATTTCTGAATAGCTTCGAGTTCCTCTTCACGTATGCACATAAACTCACTTTTTACCAAGTTCATACACAATCGACATATTTTCTGACTATCTGAAATTGACTCGCTTCTCTCTTCCTTCCTGTACACTTCCCTTATGTCGATCTGTAACATATTTTCGCAATCCACATGTGGTATAATTGTGTTATCGGTATTCAGACACGTCGACTTGAATTCGAATGCCGCATATAATTTTCTTCTGCAAGCATTACATATAACCTCTTTGCTCTCATCATGGAATTTCTGGAATGTACGCGACTTTAATCAAACGGAAAGAGAATAAATTTGGCAGAAAAGTCGCTACACATCTAATATCTTCACTGACTTACCAGCTTCAGCAAAAGAACATCGAGAACATATCTAATAACGTTTTCTATTACTTCAAAATTTTGAACGGTAACAGTTTTAAGGCAAAGCCTACAGGAAATTTCATAGACACCAGTCATTATAATTTCCTTTGAAATGCAAAATATATAACCGTAACTTGTGTTGGTTGTTTAACCTCAATTACATTGCCTGTTATCTCTTATGGACACAATTGTACCCACAGATCAAGAAAATACTGTCTTTTCTTATCTGTGATTGTACCCTTATTGATAGTTGGAGAACTTCTCACAGAGGACGCTCCCATCTAAAATTATGTCATCTAGCCATCTCATTCTAATCCTTGTTTTCAGGTGCGTTTTGTTGGATTGATTCCGGAATTGAATTATGCAGAATGAGCGTTTTATTGCAAGAATATTCTGAATCCAGTTGCACCTTTTGCTTCTGTGGTTTGAGACGGAATTATTAGAATTAAGTGGTGGGGAGATCAAATTTGTGAGGTTACTTAGGTAGCTGGTGTAGCATTGGCCCGTTGACATTCGGCATCTGTTTAATGTCAGATTTGATTCGAATCGTTTTATTGATAAATGTCATTCTAAAGAATCCAATAAATCTGGGATTGATCCTCAGAGTAATAAGTAAAGGGGAGGCCGCATTCCCTATTTCAGTACACAATGTAAACATGTAACCTCAACCCATTGTATGTTGATAAACAAATGATACATAAGTAAACACAATGGTCCCTGGTACAGTGGCGTACCGAGTTTAGGTTTAAAATCTATCATAATATAAGGAAACCATAAAAATTACACTTTTTAATTGAATAAAATCAGAAGTGCTCGATTATTTAAGCTTTCATGTGTAATAAATAGACAATAAATAGGAAAAAGTTAATGGTTCCTTCAAAATCTATAATTAATATTTTAAAAACATTTCCAGAACAAAAGAGTGACTAAAGAAAACTCCTCGATTGAAACTATCATTATACTATAGCTATAGCAATGTCATTGCCTACTATTAATTCTATTATTTCATAGTAGTTCTCGATTACTGGAAGAACATTTATTAAAATAAATAATTTAAATAAAACTACAAGAAAAGGAGCAAAAATATATTTAATTAAAATCTGCTGGAATATAAACAATGCAAAGAAAACAAAACATATTTGTACTAAAAGTAACGGAAAAATGAATTTACATTGAACAACATTTAATCGTATGGGAAAATAAGCATGTTTTAAATGTACGCAACAAAAATAAGCTGAATTTTGAGCTCACAACATTGACAGCTCGTCTCTTATGGAACAGGGACAACATGTGATTGAAGATGTTTTATAGCAACATCTATAAAATTTCCTTCACTGGCAATTTCTCGAAGAGGGAACCTTTGAGACGGCACAACCATTTCATCAACACTGTGCTAAAACGTATTACCTTCCAAATGTTGTATTAATAGGCACAGTTCCATGTGTGAGACATCGTTTTCCAGTTACTGTTACCTTAATATCTGTAGCACGGAAATGCTTCGACAGACATAATTATCCTTTGAAAAATCATATTCAGATATGGCGAAATTTTCTAGCCACACTGCTCGTATCGCAGGATCTTATGGTATTCTACAAATAAACACAGAGCTAGTGTCAGTATCAAAATACAAACATAATAAATTAACAAATAAAATACTTAGGACACCTTACACCCTTGTAAGACCGCCCATGGAAACAATGTCAAACTTACTTGTGAAATAAAGTAGCACATATTTGGCTCTTTTCCTGTAATTGTCGGCATATTATACGCCGCTTTGTTCTGGAAAGCTACATAAAATATGCAGAGTTCTACGTAGTGTTACATGAAATATCCAGGTTAGAATTTTGAAAATTTTTTTCTCGAAAACTAGGTTCGACCGCACAAAAAAAACTGCAGATTCGTGTTCAGCACCATCGAAAATAGGGGGGTAGACAAAATTTCGTAAAAATTGGAGGTGGTGCCACTAAAGTAAATAATTACCGAATTTTGTGGTTTGATTCAAACATATATCTATAAATATTTATAAATATATGGATTTTATCATATTTTCTTCCTTTTTCACAGGTAAGATATTTATGCTGCAAAATTTTCAAATTTCATATGCACACTGCACATCCAGTTTAGTCGATGTAAAATGTAGAAAATATATGTAGAATTGTAATTTAAAATTTCTAATATTATGCTTTGTGTTGTTTAGTAATTATAAGCTTTTCTTTTCACTATTAATTACCCTCAATACTGAAAGGAATAAAGTATACTCTATTTTGAATTCATTAAACGTAACTATATTTTATGCATTATAAACGGCTAATTATGTTAAATTTGTACGAGAGAGATTAAAATAAATGTATACTTAACTGGAATTAATTGAACATCTAGGCGTTTTCTAAAACATTTGATACTTGTATACAAGATATCCATATATTTTCATAGTAAACTTTTATATAAAATTCGATAATGGTACAATTTTTATTAGGTTATACCTGCTCCAGAATGGTGAGATTTAGAAAGTGCGCTGTGAAAGGATGTGGGGACACTCAGTCTACTAGGCACTGATTTCCTAATCCGAAAAAGGAAATGGGAAGGTTCCAGAAATGGGTAGAAGCTTGTGGCAATACAGCTTTAACAACCTTAACACCCGATCTTATATATCGATCATATGTATAGTTTGTGTCACATTCACTTCAGAACTGAGGATAAATCCACAAATATGTATTTTCAAAAAGGAAATCTCTGGAAAGGTAGTCCCTATGCTACACTTACCTTTTCCTGCACCACCAACTATTGATAGTTTAGAAGTTGACATACCAACATCCACTGTTACTCATGGTAAACAATTTAAAATTGTAATATGAAACTATTTGTTATAATATAATTTATAATTTTCAGAAGTCATCGACCATGCATTTCTTGAAGAGCAAGATGTGCCGTTACATGTTTACAGCAAACAAACAAAGATAGCCCACGATCAACCAAGTACTTCAACAGCTGAAGTAATTGAGAAACATGCTAGTACTTCATTTAGTGAGTATCGAGAAATGATATGTACAACACCTGTAATGGATTTGGTAAGTTGATTTGTTGTAATGAAGTCAAATTTGTCCATATGTAAATAAAAATGTACCAATCTGAAATTCAGGTACCTACACAGTATGTTTTTGTAAGATAATTGTAATGTAATTGTCATGAATGTGAGATCTTATTGTAATATATGCAGATATATAGGTATTATAATCTTTATAACCCAAATATTATGGGAAGTATGCGTTATATTATTATTTTTATGTAATTGTTGTATACAAAGTACCTACAATATTATATATTCATTATATCGATCATTGATAAAATTAGATGTTATTCTTGTTTACTTTAAGTTTCGTTATTGATTTTATCTAAGTAAGTTTCGTTTTGAAAGTTTGTTTGTAACAAGATATAACTACTATAACAATAATACATGTTAATAATATATATTATCGTTTATGTTTACGATCACTTTAAAATCTTAATAAAGCAGCTATACGAACATGCGCGAACTTGTAAACAAAATCAAAATAGTCGACAATGACAAATTTGAAAATATTTGAATCACTAATTTCAAATTAAGATGTATACTATAAAATATGGTTACTTGTTAGATGCGTACTTTTAGGAATTTTTGGAATCTCAATATGTAACAGTTTATATGTTTAATAAGTGCCCTTATCTTCATTTTAGATGTGTGTTAATTATAATATAATGTACTGATTATCTACTTATAATAGTGTGTTTGTACAATTTCTTTTTTACAATAACAATAAAGAAGTTATAAATTCTAATTGTCCCTTTTATTAACATGAATGAATGATCCAAGGAAATTAGGACTACCTGCAAACAAGAATAATAATAAATGTTATTTTTTTTTCAGGTTGTTCTAATTTCTTATTGAATTTGGTAATTTACATAAAATTAAATCGTTATTATTATTTCCGCCTATGGGTGGGGTGGGGGGTGTTCAGTTGGAGAACATCTCACAGGTGGCGCTAAACGCATACTTATTTTAATTCACGGCAGATTCCTATCTAAACCTCTGTAATCTATGACAACGACCGTTACGCATCTGCTAAAATAACAGGTACATTCACAATCCCGCATTTATTCTGAGAATTTTATGCAACATGTTTATTTATGCAATTTTTTTTAATAAATGTAAAATACAATATTTTTTTTTGTTCTGTGATATGACAATAAAAAACTTACTTTACGTACATCGAAACATGAACTTTAGAACCATTAGAATAATAACTTTAACATAGTTTACTGACAGGAGACGGAGTTACAGGAAGATAGGCACAACGTTATAAAGTAAGCATGTAGAGTTTAATTATATTTATTCATTTAAGGTTACACTACAAATAAAGTTCAAACCTTAATCCTAAGTCTTAATATTGTGAGATACGGAAATTTTAATCGTTATTATTTAAGAATCTTTTCAAGTTAAAAATGAAAAGAGCATCAGCCCAGTCTTTAATCAAAATTATTTTATATTTCATAATTCACATACAATATACACTTTTTCTACAACATAAAAAAGTCTTAGTCCGCAAAATTGTTGCGTTAGCGTAAAATTCAACAAACAGTTTCCTATGCACACGGCACTATCTTCTGAGTGCGACCAAGGTAGGTAAATTGAGTCCAGCCAGTTATTTTTGAAAATTACAAATAATTATGGATATATTTTTTAAATCTCTCGATATATATTTTGAAAATTGTCTATATGGAAGGTAAGGATCTATTTTTTTTTATCATAAACTGCATCGTTATTTAAAATACACATGTACACATTTATAACTCGCTCTGAATATTGCCATCGCTGTCATTCACATTTGTACATTCATCCATTTCTAACTATATTTTGCACGAAGGATAGTAATCCACACCTGGGAACGTTTTTTGTGCATCAACTGAGGTCTCCTCAAAAACTCTTTATGTTTGGTTGTTAGCAAAACATACCAATTCAATTGCATTTAAGAAAGCTCTTTGAGCTTCAAAACGTGATATTTAATACCATTCTTGCATTTAGTTTCGAAATCGCCGTTATTATATTTGTACAGGGTGATTCACTATATTTTGACCCCCCCCTTTAACTTTTTTGTTTTAAGAGATAAAAAAAAATGTGAAATATAAAAGTTGCACGAGTTTTTATGAATTTTTCGAAAATGATAGTAGAAAAACAAATGAAGTCCAAACAAAATGACCGCGGATGTTAACTTTGTTAAGTTAAATGGAACACCCTGTATATTTTTACTTATTTGGGTAGAACGTTCCCTGTAGAGCATAACCATATAGGGTTTGTTGGGTTTATCTCTAACAATAAGCAAGATACTTTTAAAAAACGAAAAGAAGTTTTTTTATTACGAAAGTAAGACATCTTGTAATTGTTAGACCTCTTTCAGACATTTCTGTCTTTTTTCCAATTACGTAAGGACTTACAGATTTAGTTATAATATATTTTGGCAGATCGTTGATATAGTCCAAAATGCGTATAGGTAATGTAATGAATTCTCACTAATTAGGCCGTGAGAGGTCTAATACTCATGGACATTATATAGTAGGTCGTGACAGTGACAGGTAGTAATGTCTTGATAACATTGTTATTGATTGACAGTATGTATTATTATTATTTAATTAAAATAAGTTACACAGAAGTAGAAAATTATTGAGAATTAAAATAGGGTATGAAGAAGAACTTTGCTCTATTTTAATTCCTATAATATTTCAATTTTCTACTTCTGTGCAACCCATTTTAAATAAATAATAATACAAACTGTCAATCAATAACAATTTTGTCATGACATTAGCTGCCACTGTCACGGCCTACCATATAATATTGTTCATGAGTAATTAAGCCTCTCACGGCCTAATTAGTGAGATTACAATACCTACAAGCATTTTGGACCATATCAATATCCGATCTGTCAAAATATATTATAACTAAATCTGTAATTGAAAAAAGGCAAAAATGTCTGAAAAAGGTTTAATAATTACAAGATGTATTATTTTCTTAATAAACAACCTTCTCTTTGATTTAAAAAGTATCTTGTTTATTGTTAGAGATGGACCTAACAAACCCTACATGGCTATACTCTACAGGGAACGTTCTATGCAAATATGTAAAAATATACAGGGTTCCATTTAACTTAACAAAGTTAACATCCGCGGTCATTTTGTTTGGACTTCATTTGTTTTTCTACTATCATTTTCGAAAAATTCATAAAAACTCGTGCAACTTTTATATTTCACATTTTTTTATCTCTTAAAACAAAAAAGTTAAAGGGGGGGGTCAAAATATAGTGAATCACCCTGTACATTTGAACCTCTGAAGGATTTTTATGTGTCAGTCGGTACTTTTTGATATTCCCCCTATATTTAGTTTTAAATTGCAGTTGTTTCACCTGTAAGTCTGGACCTCAGATGGATCTTTATGTTTCTGTTGGTGCTGTTTGATAACATTCTTGTACTTATTTTCGTAATCGCAGTCGTTACACCTGTACATTTAAACCAGCGAAGGATCTTTGCTTCAGTAGATGCTTTTTGATATTCTCCCTGTATTTAGTTTTATAGTCGCAGTGGTTACACTTCTACATCTGGACCTGAGATGAATTTTTATGTTTCAGTTCATGCCGTTTGATACCATTCTTATATCTGGTTTCAAAATCGCAGTAATTACACTTGTACATTTGAATCTGTGAATGATCTTTATGTTTCAGTTCGTGCCGTTTGATACCATTCTTATATCTGGTTTCAAAATCGCAGTAATTACACTTGTACATTTGAATCTGTGAAGGATCTTTATGTTGCAGTTGGTGCTGTTTGATATGATTCTTGTGGTCAGTTTCGTAATCGCAATCGTTACATTTATACATTTGGATCTTTGAAAGACCTTCATGTTGCAGTTGGTGCTTTTTGATATTATTGCTATATTTAGTTTCAAAATTGCAGATGTTACACCTGTACATTTGATCCTGCGAAGGATCTTTATGATTCAGTAGATGCTTTTTTATATTCTGCTTGTATTTAGTTTGATGGTCGCAGTGGTTACACTTGTACATCTGGACCTCAGATGAATTTTTATGTTGCAGTTCATGATGTTTGATACCCCTCCTATATCTGGTTTCATAATCGCAGTAATTACACTTGTACATTTGAATCTGTGAAGGATCTTTATGTTTTAATTGGTGGTTTTTGATGTAGCACTTGTATTTGGTTTCGTAATCGCAGTCGTTGCACTTGTACATTCGAATCTGCGAAGGATCTTTATGTTTCAGTTGGTGCTTTTTGATATTCTCCCTGTATTTAGTTTTGAAATCGCAATGGTTACACCTGTACATTTGATCCTGCGAAGGATCTTTATGTTTCAGTTGGTGTTTTTTGATATTCTCCCTGTATTTAGTTTTATGGTCGCAGTGGTTACACTTGTACATCTGGACCTGAGATGAATTTTTATGTTGCAGTTCATGCCGTTTGATACCCTTCCTATATCTGGTTTCATAATCGCAGTAATTACACTTGTACATTTGAATCTGTGAAGGATCTTTATGTTTTAGTTGGTGCTTTTTGATTTGGTACTTGTCCTTAGTTTCGTAATCGCAATCGTTACACTTATACATTTGGACCTTTGAAAGATCTTTATGTTGCAGTTGGTGCTTTTTGATATTATTGCTGTATTTAGTTTCAAAATCACACCTGTACATTTGATTCTGCGAAGCATCTTTATGATTCAGTAGATGCTTTTTTATATTCTGCTTGTATTTAGTTTGATGGTCGCAGTGGTTACACTTGTACATCTGGACCTCAGATGAATTTTTATGTTGCAGTTCATGCCGTTTGATACCCTTCCTATATCTGGTTTCATAATTGCAGTAATTACACTTGTACATTTGAATCTGTGAAGGATCTTTATGTTTCAATTGGTGCTTTTTGATATAGTACTTGTATTTAGTTTCGTAATCGCAGTCGTTACACTTGTACATTTGAATCTGCGAAGGATCTTTATGTTTTAGTTGGTGCTTTTTGATATTCTCCCTGTATTTAGTTTTATGCTCGCAGTGATTACACTTGTACATTTGGACCTGAGATGAATTTTTATGTTGCAGTTTATGCCGTTTTATACTCTTCTTATATCTGGTTTTATAATCGCAGTAATTACACTTGTACATTTGAACCTGTGAAGGATCTTTATGTTTCAGTTGGTGATGTTTGATATAGTACTTGTATTTAGTTTCGTAGCCGCAGACGTTACACCCGTACATTTTGAACTGTAAGGGGTCTTTATGCCTCAAGGGGCAGTTTAGAAGTAATTTCTTATTATCAGTTTCATATTCACAGGATTCACATTTATATTCTTCCGAATTGTTCTCGTTTCTCGCACAGTGTGTTGTAAAATGGCTCTTGCATCCAGTTTGGCAAACAGATTTATCACATTTGTACAATACCTTGCACTCCTGCTTGGTTTTCGTATTACACTTGTTTTCCGATCCATTCTCATTTTTACATCCATCCTCTTCCGCAACTTTACAATCACTCTTCTCCGATGGTTCATTATTAGAGGTCTGCAGTGGCGCATCACTGAAAAAATTGCATACAAAATTCCATTTAAATCAGACAAAGTATTTTAGTGAATATGAACCTATATTTTTTGCCAGCTTTGTTGGTTATCTTTATACATTTGTACAATATTTTATCTGGGTAATAAAAATTAACACTGTAGACAACATGCATATCTTTATTACTACCATTGACTACTACTGCCACAGAAACTTAACCTACTTCGTACAGTTATTATAGGCACATTTTAGTCGAGTACCCACTGCCCATGATAAAAATTGTGATAAAATTATATACGTATTAATGAAAACTTCTGATGTTTATATTTAAAATTGTCGCTAACGCAATAGCTCCATCATTTCCATTTAAAATTTGGGTGTAACACAAGTTTACCAGATGTTCGTGGTTAGATGAACTGAGCCGGCCTCTTCGTACAATATAGAAGACATAATTCTCATTATAAAAATGGTAAGTTCACAAGTACTTAATGTGATTCTTATATCTGAATACAAAGACTACAACTCACAGCAGATAGCCAAGAAAATTAGTGCATTTTCCACTGCCGAACATAACAACTTGCCCCTATCACATTTATTAAAAATGAAAATAAAACATTGTAATTTTTTTTATTTTGATATGAGTTCTTTAGTGAAAACTGGTAAAGTATCCTTTATACCCACATGCAACCTAAAGCCATACTGATTGTTGTGTCAAGATATTATACTTTTTCCAAGTAATTTAATAATCAAGCTTTTGATTGGACAAAAATTTGTGTAACATTATTTATAACCAACGTACGCCTATAATTTGTTATAACTTGTATATCACCAATCATATAAACTGGTATAGTGATTGATTGCTTCCATGAGTTCCAAGACTCCTTTTTGGCGACACGCCAGTAATATGAATTAAAAATTTTACGATATACTTACGCACCCATTTCATTGTATAAATCGTGACAGTACCACCATCATTTTTTAAATTAATGTTAAAATAGTCTTCCCTTACCTTCTTTCCTCATCTTCAGATTTTATGTCGACACATTCAGTTTTGATCGAAAATTCCATCTCGCTCATATCAAAGTCTTTGTCCAGGTTTTCAGTCGTAACAAATAAATCAGATGGTGACGTGTCTATTTGACTTTTTGTGGCTGAGTTATCATAAGCATCTCTAATTTTTTCCTCTACTTCTAGGCATTCTCTAAGGAAACTGTTGTGGGTGCACAGGGAATCAAAACATTCCTTACATACAACGGGATCTTTGATGATATTTATATTCTGCAAATTTGTTTCATTAAATTGCGCATAATATAAATATTTAATATTGTTCAAACCATTTCAGGAGTCAATTTTTGAATAGCTTCGAGTTCCTCTTCACGTATGCACATAAACTCACTTTTTACCAAGTTCATACACAATCGACATATTTTTTCACTATCGGAAATTGACTTGCTTCCCTTTTCTTTTCTGTACACTTCTCTTATGTCGAGCTGTAACATTTTTTCGCAATCCACATGTGGAATAATTGTGTTATCGGTATTCAGACACCTCGACTTGAATTCGAATGCTGCATATAATTTTCTTCTGCAAGCTTTACATATAACCTCTTTGCTCTCATCATCGAATTTCTGAAATGTACGCAACTTTAACCAAACAGACAGAGAATATCTTTGGCAGAAATTAATTATTGTTAAGTGGCTACACACTTATTTAATATCTTCACCGACTTACCAGTTTCAGCAAAAGAACATCGAGAATATCTCTAATAACGTTTTCTATTACTTCAAAACTTTTAACGATAACAGTTTTAAGGCAAAGCCTACAGGAAAATTCTTGAACACCAGTCATTATAATTTCCTCTGAAATGTAAATATACGACTGCGACTTATGTTGATTGTTTAACCTCAATTAAACCGATGGATAGGAGTTAATGCTCTTCTTCATCTTCTATTCTCGTACGAGCTAGCATAGAAAATTCTTCATTTTAATGCTTCAACGCAGATTCCCGATTACACTAGACAAAAATTGGAGTTGCTTTTTACACCGGCCTAATCTGCTTCTTCAGATCATGGTGGTATCAGTTTACATCAGAATATTTTTTTTTTCGTTACACCATACTGTTATTTTCATTTAACATACCCCATCCGTTACGATTTATTTTTCCACAATAAGAAGCATACTTATTACCTAGCAAAGCAACCACCTTGTAACTTGATGTTTTTATTTCTCTGGCATGTCCATATTATTTGTGAAAATTGCTTTTTAGATGAAATGATAAATGAAATGAATGAAACTGGTGTAACGAAAACCGTTGAACGACACACGGCCGATACGTAAATAACATCCTCGGTCGATTATAAATTTCGCCCGTTATTTACTTGGTATATGCTTGGTATCGGCCTTGTAATGTTAATACATAACTATATTCTCCTTGACTTTCTAATTTTTAATAATTACTGTTGCTTTATACGAGTTAAGCAGTTTTAAATTTTATTATAACAATGGTACAAGCATGATGTCATTAACGAGTTGCGAAATTTCGTTTCGATACAAATTGTAGACGTAAGTTTATATATAAAGGGACAGTTTAGGTCAATGGTAGTACGACGTAAAACTTATAATTTACACATTTACATATGAATCTGATTGAAAAGTATAGGTAGTTTTAAGTACGTGAACAAATATATATATATACAGGGTGTGCCATTTACCACTTCCGCTGCCAATATCTCCGAAATGTAGAAATTTATTTTAATTCCTGGGTGTGTTAGGTCTCTCGAATAACTTCAAATAGTAGTTAGAACTGTTAGTTCAAATCTTTCTGTATAGATGGCGCGGCGATACAAAAAAATCTGAAGTCCATCTGAAAGATCGTTAAATTTTGAGTAAATTTTGTAATAAAAAGTTTTTTCCTATATTTCCTCCCTTGTTTTCGAGATATGTTGACATAAATATGCGCAATGTATGATGTAACAGGAAAATCTATTACTTTATTTAATTCACACTGAGACAAAATATTCTTTTAAAATATTGTTATAATAGCTTTATTCACCTCACATACTAACAAACAATAAATTATATAAAAAAAAACGAATGATGTTTAGGCGGGGCAGTGAAGCACAAAAGTTCGGAATTTTTTCCATAAAGGCGGATCGGAATGCGGTTTTTTGCATTCTCTTCCAAAAATTTTTTGTAAAAAATGTGGCTACTTTGTGTTTCTGACAAACCGGAAATTGCATTGCTGCAGCCAAAAATGCATTCAAAAATTGCATTTTTTGAGACGCCTTTTGGAAGATTTCAAAACTTTGTAAATAAGAGTCAGAACTGGCCCCAATCGGGTACTCGGGGGTTTTCGAGGTCGCTGATCACGATTATGATGTTCAAATTGACCCCCCGAACACCTGGAGCTCAGG